CTTTCTTTTCCATGCTCCAGCTACCCGAGATCCCTCGGGAAGGCGAGAGGTTTCTAACCTCTGGATCAGTCAGTGACTTCTAAAAATACAGAGACAGAGATAAGCAAGTAGGCACTTAAAGGAACAAGCCTGATATCTTTACAGAATCAGGGGATCAATGTATTGCTTTCACTCCTCGCTCATCCCAACCATGACTGTGTGTGATGGTCCACATCTGCGCACAAGTACTTGGAAGGGTTAAAAACCAACCAAAGAAACCAAGCTGAACTCATTCCTACTAGCTGTTACAATGCCTGTGCAGTACAGTGGTGATTACTGACTACAGCAAATAAGCAGTCTCAGATAATGATAATCAATTAATTGGGCATCACAAGAAACAATGAAATGAGATTTGCTTTCTTATAAGCTGCCTGGAAAGTAAAATTGTTCTAAATATCCTTCCAAGGCTCAGGGCTGCACATCTCTTCCATCATTTCTCAGCAGTCTTTTAGCAATACCAGAAGTGCCCTGAGCACAAGCAGCTGGAGCCCCTTCTACCTCGTATGAAATATTACGGTCTCTGAAGAGATCACCTTGTTTGCCATCATGAAAGTCCAAATGAATAGAACAGAACATAAAAAGAATTTTAATCTCCTCTAATTATTTTTAAAAGCCCACTTGACACTATCAAAGCAGGAGACAGAAAGGCTGGTTTGGACAGTGACCAGCTCTGCCGGAGCAGAGAGCTGGTGGCGGCTGGGGATGCGGTGTGCCCCCCCGGCAGGGCTGCAGCAGGGACCCACCCGCAGCCCGGCAGAGCACGGCGCTGCCTTCGAGAGCTTTGCTTTGCCACCAAGAGCCCTGTCTCACCACACGCCTTCCCCCGGGGCCCACCACGCCTGCAGCAAAACCCCCAGCTGCTCTCCAAGGCTACTCAGAAGACCCCAAGACAGTGGGCTTCAACTTACCCCAGTTCCTTCAGAATAAATGCCACGCGAGATCACTCACTTTGGCAAAGCTGCTGCCACAGATTTACACCAAGACGAAAGAATCGCTCTCCCTAAGACCACGGCATACAAATCAGTCTAGCTGTGATGATTTTGATCAAGCTCGTCCGGATTTGCCCAGCTGTCAGCATGGACAGAAAGACACAGCAGGGTGAATGGTGGAATCAGTGCAGCTCTTTTGAGGCTGGTGTAGCTCATTAAGCCAAATCCTCAATCAGGAATGACCTGTCAGTCATGATACTTTACACTTTCTCTTGTCCCCTTCCTCCCCTAAATGATTTAAAAGGCATAAAAACCTACTGGAAAGTAACAAAAGTAATGGGGGGTTGGTGGCTGTGAGGGGAAGAAAAAGGGAGCGCGAGTTTAATGTAAACTCCAGAGCAGAGGAGAAATACATCCCTGTGTAATGATTTGATGGTCTAAAGCACCTCAATTTTAACTGCTCTGGACAAAATATTACAGCTTATCAACACAAACTTTCAGCCCGACTGCTACAATAATCAACTGTGTACTCTACAGCAAGGCTGATGAGAGCCAAGCGAGCTCTAAAAATATGACAGACAATATAAACTTCTTCACTTACGCCATAATTCAAATTACAGTGATCTTTTGCTAAAGTGCACTCTTGAATGCTGGAATGATAGAGCTATAATTGTAATGGAGTCATTTAATTTTGATTTGGATGAAACTGCAAGCACAAAGCAGACAAGGCATAAAACTCTGCTACTCACATAAAGGTTAAGAAGTTGGTCATTAAGTGAATTGATTTGGAATGCTTAGGTAATCTTGTCATTTAAATCAGAATTCCACTTTTTATCTAATTTATACTAAAATATCTACAAACCCCACTGCACTGGTCACAGGCCACCAGTCAGTTTCCATCTAGGGCAGCAAGCATGCAACTCATTACTTTCTCTTCTTTGCCCACTGTTGTGGCAGTTTTCATTTGGTGCCACGATTCCACTTTTGGTGCAGCACGGTTCTGAGCGATGCCTGAAGACACAAGGCAGAAGACAGAAATTGCTCCTACCCCACAGCTGGTGCTTCTCTCCTAGAAAGGAGCATGGGAAACAGTCGAGGTACTCCTGCATGGCCAGACATGAAAGAAAAGAATGCAACTGAGCTATCACGACTTGTAAAATGAGTGCAGTAACTACCGTGTGAACGCTCTTACAAGACTGCACAAACAAGTTAAGGCTACGTATTTATTCACTGCTCCGTCTGAACAGCTGCCACACTGCCCATATTCACAACTGGCCATCTCTGAGCACCCTGACAGACAGAAAGTTGATTTCTGGCTCAGTAAGTTTGTCATGCTCACCCCGGAGAGCACGATGTGCCTGGGAGCAGGCCAGGCCAGCAGTGGAAGAGCCTTCCTGATCTCTGCAATCGTCCTGTGCCCCGAAGAACAAGCTTTGACGTCTCTCACAACGACACATTCTGCATATTAAGAACAACAGCGCTGTCCTAGACAGTCAGTTTCTTGCTGCAGGACAGTCAAGATGGGAGCGCAGCACGGGAACGTGCTCCTCCTCCGACAGATGGAGAGACAGACCATCACTCCACACGCAGAACGGGAGCTGTGCTCTAAGCAGACAGCTTCTGACGGAGAGTTCACCACATCTACTTGTCTAAAGCAGGCAGACAGTGTTTGGGAGATTAAGCTACGCAGCTGTGGTTTTGCATTAAGAAAGCCCCTCTCTGCTCACCTTCTCCCCTCTCTGTATGTGATCCCAAGTACAGTGTACGCATAAATTCCAGGACCAAACCCAGCCCTGGTAGACACCTGTTTATCCGATGTTTCTCTCTCCACTGATCCAGTACAGAGCAGAGCAACAGACACCAGTGAGGACTTCAGGACACAGTGAGGTTTGCTCCGCTCAAGGAGACCAGGTCACAGCCAGAGACCTTTGCAGAGCTGGTTACACATCAAGGCTGAGCCCAAGATCCCTGGTTTCAAGGAGAAGCAGAGAACAGGAGAACAAGCCACCCTGTACATCCCCACCCCTTGTCCCTGCAGCTCTGACACCCCTGCCCGATGTGCAAAACATTAGGCTGAGGTATTTATATCTTGACTCCAGAGAAATCCTCCAAGGACTGCCCTTTAGCATCACTGAATGCAATCTACTCTTCATTTCCCCCTTTCCCAAATGCAGCATGCAAGGATAAATTTGCACTTGCTTGATTTCAAAATCTCCAAAGGAACTATTACAGCTGGACTGCAAATCACTCTGCGACCCTTCCCAAGGGAAGTGTTTCTACCAGCACTACATGGGTCATAAACCCTTTCCAGATGTAACACCGGTGCAGGAGCTCTAGAAGATGCCAGCACAACTGGGTACGTGATAAAACTGTTGTGTAAAGAAGTTCAGCTCACAAGCAGACAGTTTATAAGCTTCTCCTTCCTATTAGGATCACAATAACAAAATACAGCTCTGTCACAGAACAACCCCTTGGCAAACTCCATCCTACAGAAATTATTTCTGTGCAGGAAGCACCGAGTTTCACTCAATATTAATAGTCTCTAAAAGACATCATGTACATTATATTAGAGAACAAACAAAAAGTGATGTGAATTACCCAGCAGAGTGGGTTGAATTAGAGATGAAGTCATTTTAACAGACCAGAGCGTTTTTGACACAGGGTTTCTACCCATTCCAAAACCACAGCCAAAATATGGGTTTTTTTCAGCAATCTTCAGTGCACAACATTGCAGAATAACTCCCAAAAGCTTACATTGTTGCTGACCTATCATTAGGAACAATAACCAGTAAAAAAAATAAAAATCTTACAAATCTTTTCTTTTCTCTGGTCTCAAGATTACCAGGGACTCCAGCCTGGAAGACGTGCCCTTGCCTAGGGCACAGATTTAAAGGTGGGGCAGGGAACACGCAGGTTGGCTGTGAAGACACTGTTCAGAGCTGTGCAAGATTAACGCGCTGTTGGAGGAAAGCACCACATGAAGCAGGCTGCGAAGAGAAGTGCTTTAGCTTATTACGGAATAATTAAAGCACAAACAGCTGCAAAAAGTGTCTTGTCACCCCAGATCCCATCTCTCCACGCGATGCCTACAAAAAACCCCTGCCCTAAAAAGTCGACTCTCCAGCTGAGGAGGTTTGTGCCTGGCACTCCCGTGCCGCGGGAACGCTCCGAGCTGAGCCCACCAGCCACAACAGCATCGCTGTGAACCGTTTGGGTCACGCAAATGTGGACTTTGCCTCGAAACACTGAGCCTCAGGTGAAAATCGCAGAGTTTATGGAGCTCCCTCACCTAACCTTACAGGAAGGCTTTTCTAGATAGCAGCCCTGCTGATACGTGCTCCAGCAGCTCTGCGGGGCGTATGGAAAGGTGCTGTGCTGCAGGCAGCGCCGGGGGCACCCCGGTTGTGTAACTGTTCTCCTTCCCACCCCCCCACCCCCGACACAGCCCGGGGTAGGGATCTGGGCTCTGCTCCTGCTTTGGGCACTATGCAGGCCTGGGGCAGCGGGGGGGGGGGGTTGTTCTGCTTCTCCGTGCCTCAGTTTCTCCACCTTTAGGAGGAGAAAAAAAATGGTCTAGCAGTTAAAGTACATGCCTTAAAACCCGGCTCGAGAAGAATTCAAACTTCCACAAGCCTCCCGTGTTGAAAGGAAGGGACAAGAAGCATCGCTACGTTGTGATTAAAAAAAAAAAAAAAAAAAAAAAAGGAAAGTATCGCTTAGCCCCGAGGGGCCGAACCAGCCGTGCCAAGAGCCGCCGTGCTATCAGCGGGCATCGCTCTTTCCACCGCGAACTTTCCGTGCGCCGGCGGGACGAGCCCCGGCCGCCCGGCTCGATGCCAACCCGGAGCCGCCCCGCGAAGGAGCTGCGGGTTTCCCCGGGGCTCCGGTCCCAGCGGCTGGAGCGGGCGGGAGCAGCCGCCGAAGGCGGAGCGGGGAGAAGCCGGACGGGGCGCACGGCGATCGCGGGCGGGGAAGGAGGGAACCCGGGACGGGACGCCCCCGCAACCGGAGTCCGTCCCGGAGCCGCCTCACCTTGACAGCCTCGGCGTGGGTCACCCGGTCCAAGGACTTGCCGTTGACACCCAGGATCTGGTCGCCGACGCGCAGCCCCTCCCGCTCGGCCAGGGAGCCCGGCTCCACCAGCGACACGTAGATCCCGACGCCGTGCTCGGCCCCGCCGCGGATGCTGAAGCCCAGACCCTCGTGGGCTTTGCTCCGCCGCAGCGTGACCTGCCGCAGCTCGCCGGGGACCACCGGCGGCGGGGCGGGGGCGGGCGGGGGGCGGCCGGGCAGCGGCAGGTAGGGCCCCTCGGCGGTGTACTGGTCGAAGAGGAGCTGGTCGGAGCGCGGCAGGACGAGGCGGAGCAGCGGCAGGAGCTGCCGGCGGCGGGGCCCGTCGAGGAGGGCTCGGAGGGAGCGCACCAGGTCGCAGACGTTGCGGCGGCCGTGGTAGGCGTTGAGGCAGAGGATGAAGCGCTCCCGCTCCGCCTCGCTCAGCAGCGCCGTCAGCGCCTGGTGCAGCCGCCGCACGTTGGCCGACAGCGGCCGCGGCGCCGGCCCCGCCGCCGAGCTCAGGGAGCCCGAGGAGGAGGAGGAGGAGTGCACCGACACGCCGTCCAGCTCCGCGCTCGTCGCGCTCATCGCGCCGAACCGGCCCCGAAAGCGGCGCCGCACGCGCCGCTCCACCTGCCCGCGCGCTGGCCGGCGCCTCGCGGCGGCTCCCCAGGAAGTGACGTGCCCGCCGTTGCCGGGAGACGGGTTATACAGAGCGGGCCCGCGCCCCGCCCCCGCGCCCCCCCCCCCCCCCCCCCCCTCGACCGGCAATTAGGCTCATTACGGCCACTCGCCGCCGGGGGCAGCGGTTGGGCGGTTGGGCTGAGGCCGGCGCGCAGCTCATCGCAGGGGTGAGCCCCGCGCTGGCAGCGGCCGCCTCGGGCGGGGAGATGCTTCGCTGTGGGACCGGCCGGCCAAGGGCGGGGTGAGGCCCTTCCGCTGGTCCCCGGGCCCGCCTGCAGGGCTGGGGGTGCTCGCTGTCCCCCGGCCCGGCCACCCCCCCCCCCCCCGGGGTCCTGCCACCCCCCTGAGAACCCGGGAGGATTCGGCTTACACCCCCAGAGAACGGCCGACCCGGCACACACAGCGCCCGTGACTTGGCCCCTACGGCTGCTTCTCCATCGCCAGACCGTGGATCATCGTTAAGTTGTAGTACAGGTAATTATACCTGGTATCTGGTGGTGCTGGTAATTACACCCAGTAAATTATGGCACTGGTAATTCATCCATTCAGCCATGACCCAGTAGAGAACATCAGCACAGGCTTCGCTTGAATCGCAAGCCCATGGGATTTAGCATTACTGCCCGGGTGTTGAAGCAATTTGTGATGTGGGGCTTGGAGTGAAACCCCAACGCCCTGTAATTAACCAACCCCCCTCATTTAACAAACAGCCCCCCCCCGGGGAAGCCCCTCCTCGGAGGGATGGATCCCGGTGATCCAGACGCGGCGATGGAGGGGCTGGCAGGGCCGCAGGCAGCCGGGATCAGCGGGATTCAGGGGAGCACAGCAGTGCCTGGGACGCTGCCACACGCCCCGCCTCCCTCCTTTCTGCTCCACTGATGAATTGTCGCCTACTACATGAGGTTTTAGTTTCTTTTACATCTCCGAACACTAAGCAAAGACCATTTTCCACCTTAGTCGTTTGAAATCTTTTAGTCTTCACTGAAGTGCCTTCTACCCACTGCAGTAGGGGAGAATTAAACCTAATTCATCAGAAGCATCTCGATAGCAATAGAATTCATTTTGTTCATGGATATGATGGAAGAGCTTTAACAGCTGCATTACAAGTAGTTTTATGTATTAAAGCTTTGTTGGAGCTTTCAATGCTTTGTTTAAAAGAAAACTAAACAAAGTAGATTGCTGATTGAAATTGGGGTTTTAACGTGGGTGATAAATAAGCAGATGGAACAGTCAACATTACTGAAAAAAAGGGACAATATAGGACAGAAAAGTGAATAAAAACAAAAATACGCCTACATCAGCCAAACAAAATATGGGCAAACAAGTATTTCATGTCTTTGAATTGCACTCAAACACAATTTTAATGCTTAGCACCCTGCTCAAAGACTCTTCTATTTAAAGTACTACTATTTCCACAAGCGCAGCATCTGAACATCTCCAACCTTTTAACACCGAGTATGTTAACACACGCAGAGGCAGAGGGAGCTGCCCCCGCGCTGCGCTCGCTCCGGACCGGAGCGGCACATCCCGTTCTTCCCGCTCCAGTGGAGCACGGCCGTGCCCGAGCCGCAGCCACCGCGGGTGTCTGATGTCCAAAGCTGCCCGGAGGTGGCATTTGGTCCCTGATATTTTGTTCCCTACTCTGGAAACTATCACACAGCCAGTTTCCCAAGCCTAAGACAAGTTCGATACAACTCTACCCAGCAGAAATGCATGACATCCACACACGAGTAGCTGCATTTGGAAATAATTGTTTTCTTGCTGCCAGAGGAGACTGTTCATCCTTGGGATGTGACTACTTGCCACAGGACATCTCCAAGCCATCCCTCTGGAGCAGGGCTGGGTGTGATGCCGGTTCCAGTTTCTGCTCACAGATCCTCACAGAACACATACAAAGTTTTAATCCCCAGATGTTTTACAGATTTAGACTGTTCACACACTGTGTAAATTGGCTCTTTATCATATATACTGCCAGCCAGGGAGCCCCTCTGCTTTTCCACTGGAGAAGAAAGCGATTGAAATCTTCTCAGAACCTCACCTTCGAATTGAAGCTGATTAATTTCTAGGGGCTTTATGCTTTCCACTGCTTTAAGCACTTAAGCCACACAGTGGAGAGCAAGCCTTCGGTCAGAGGGGGTTCATCCAACTCTTGGGCACAGGAGTGTTCCCACACCTGAGTAAAACCTCTCAAAGCTTTCTCAGCACAAGTAACACCACTGAACAAATGCCTCACAGCAGCTTGCCATTCCTGTGTAGAGCTGCGTGGCACAATGGGCCAGATTCTCACTACTGGGAATCAAAATAGTCCTTTGAGAAAGGGAGCTCTGCCAGCCAGGGAGTTGGCAGCAAGCGCTCAGGATGGAAAGCCAATGCCAGGTACCAAGAGCACTACTCTGCAAACACCCAGGTAAGTACGTGGTCCTTTGGAGCTGAGATTAATGAACACTGCAAGTCCGTTCATTCCTGGGGCAACTCCTGGCTGAACTGGACCTTTGTTAACTGGAGGGGCTACACAGACACTGGCAATGAAACTCCAGCACCCTCCCACACAGCTGGGAGCTGTTGGAGCAGTCAGAGGCTGCGTAAACTCAATTCTCAAACAGCATTTCAAACCCAACAAGTAGCTTGCACAGCAGAGTTCCTTAAGGCTAGCAAGAGCCGGAAAGGTGTTATTAATTTGCTTTTTTAAATCATCCGTGCAGCACAAAATAATCCAATGCATTTGCTAAGTGCCAGATGAATAAATTGCCTAACCTTTCCGCTTTAATCCACTGTAATCACTTTCCAGAGCACTCTTTGAAAAGTGAGCTCCATGTTTCCAGCGCAGCTGTGCTCCTAATTAAAAGGCACTGTAGCAAGAAGACAACTAAACGTAATTCTGGTTGGAAATGCCTTGCTGCAGAGTTGGAGGACTGAGCTGAACAGTGAGCAGGGCCAGGGAGGAAGCAGCAGCTGCCTGTGCTGCTCCGCTCCTTCAGAGAGCACTAGGAGCTGGCTGGCACTCGGGGCTGCCTTTTGGCTAAATCCCTGTTTAGCAGATCGGCTCCCAACCCTCTGTCCCTGGCCGGCTGGACTGGTTTGTGCAGCTTGAACATGTGCTCTCCTCAGCATGGTTGAGAATCAGCTGAGTGCTGCCGTTAAGCAGTCTACAGAAATAGGCAATGCAGGAAAAAAAGCATCATGAGGGTTTTCTAACAGAAGTCCTGGGTACCGGGGGTTCCAGCACCACCTCTACTGTTTGTCTTGTGGTAAAGCTGGATCCTGCACAGTTCAGAGACGAGTTCCCCACTGTGCTGCACAAACAGCAGAGATGCGTGCTCTGTCTCTTCAGCTCCAGGTATAGCAGGCAGAAGTCTGATTTAAAGAAAAGCCCTAGGAGCGGTGAGAAATCATCATTTCAAGGAGGATTTTCTAAGCTTTGAGTTACGAGCATAAATGTAATCCACTCGCAACAGGAATGTTTCCAATTTATGGGCACTGTCACGCTTAATCAGACCAAGTTCAATTTGACATGTCCCAGCCAACAGCCAGGGGTAGATGCTTAAGAGGAAGGTTCAGGCAAGAAGAGGAGGTAGGGAACTCCAACACTTCCTAAAACCTTCTCTATCTGCATGTCTACAAATCTTTGTGCTCATAATGCTCCGTGCCACACTGAGACTGTTTCTGAGCAAAGCCAGTCTGAAACAGGTTCAGCTGGGTGGGAATTTATTGTTTACCATGTGCAAGAGAAGATCAAAGATGAGAATTTTAGCTCCAAACTACTGAGACATACTGTTTCCATAGGGTGGACTGCACAGGATTACAGTTTTAGTCATTTAGATACTGCCTGAATTAAAAAGTTAATCAAATCAGAAAGCAATAGTTTCACCTATATTACTGCAAATATTTTGGTTTAATGCCATTGGAATGCCTTGACACTTATTAAAACCCAAAGTTAACACAATTCAAATTCAAGCAAAACCACATTTTGGGAAAACATTTGCTTTGGATAAAGCTATGTTTTCTAGTGAAAAAAAATCCTTTCAGCTAAAATAAGTTTCACCCAGATTTGCCTGCAGTGGTCTCTCTACCATGCCAACATCATTGAGTGTAACCCTGCATCACAGTGCCAGGCAATTTAAAAGCTGCAATCCGCCTCCTCTCTCCGGCAATTTCTTGCACTTACGCTCTCTCCAGTCCTTTCTGAAATGCCTAAAAGCCACTTGTGTCACCAATTTTGTTTTTAATGCCCAGCACAAATCATCTGTAAGTCACAATGTGGGCCTGGATATTACAGACAGGCAAAGCAGAGACTTGCTGAGGATCAATCTTTGTCATTGCCTGGTCTCTGATTTGGGCACCCTGGCTGTTAAACTTCTCGGTGTATAAAGGACATGAGCCTGTTCCTGCGGGCTGACTGTCCTTAGGTGTGAGAGGTGAAGTCTCCAGCACGGTGGTGTAGGCAACACATGCAGAACGGGCCAGCCTTAGGGGTGCAAGTAACTCGCTCTACAGGACTAGGCTTATTTATATTAACTGTGGAAATTGCCAAGCAAGTCCAATGTTCTCATACAGATGAGCTGGGTGGCAGAGGAGGACTAGCTAGATTCTCATGTGAAGTTGCGGGATGCTTTAACAGAGTGGAGAGCACTGACTCTTTACCCTCAGTGTTGCCTTCATTCGTGATCTGGGATCTACCTTGCACACAGCAGGTGTCATAGTACAAATTTATGCCTCCAACCCTGACTTCTCTTGCTGGGGACATCACTTCCCCAGCCCAGTGGCCTAATTAGTCTCCGTTCTTCAGTCAAGGACTGCCTCATGCTGGGTGTCTGCACACCGGAGCCTTGACTTCTGCAGGAGCTACAGCTGAGGCACCCAAGCCAGTGCAGTACATCACACAGCTCTGACACTCGCTTACTTACTCTACTCACTCTCCACCACCGTGGCTGGAGAGTACCAAACGAATTTGAGGGAAGTACAGTCCCTTTCTGAAGGGCTCTCTT